GATGAGATGAGATGAGATGGGCATAAAGATGGGAATGGGATGGGAAGGGGATGGAATAGGATGGGGATGGGGATGGGGATATCGCGCCATCACAGCTGGGCATTGTGTCCCCCTGCTTCATGGCCACCTCAAGCCCTGGCCAGGGCTGGCCCTCACCGAGAGGCCTCTGGCTGTTCCCGTTGCCTCTCGCACCGCTCAAACCAGTGGAAACTTCCCAAACGGGAGCTGGTCACTGCAGCGCTACCCGAGGGCTCGAGGTGACCGGCAGCATCACCGCGAGAGCTGGGAAATGGGGCAAAGAACCGCGGCCTTGGGGTCCCCTGGGCTGCCTCTGGGCRGGCCGGGAGCAGGCGGTGGGATGGGTCTGACCTCTGCCTTGGGCAGCACCCRTGTCACTTATGTCACCGGTTTCTCATCAGTGCAGGACTGTGGGTCTGGCCTCTTCCTAGATACCCTGGCACAGGAGGTTCCCGGCAGCGCCCGTGCTTGCAGACATTCATATGCATGCATATAGAATCACAGAATCCTTACGGTTGGAAGGGACTCTAGAGATCATCTAGTCCAACTCACCGCACATGCAGGGTCASCTATAGCACATGGCACAGTATTTTTCCCTCCTGCCTAATSTGAGTTTTCCTTGCAGCAAGTTAGCCCTGTGCACCTGGACGTGGAGAGCATTGCGTTCCTCCTCCTTGCAGCTCACATTTACCTGTCGGATGACTGTTGTAACTCTTCTCAGCCTCCTCTTCTTCAAACACCCCTAGCTCCTTCTTCCTTGTAAACCACATTTCCTTCGTCCTTCCTTGTTTCTGTCTGTCCTGCGGACTGTCACCCTCTGCCTCACAGCTTCTTTCCGTGCAACACCCAGAGCAGGGCGCCGTGCTCCACCCAAGCAGGAAAAGAATGATTTGCGGTGTCTTACAGGCCGTGCTTTTGTTTGCATAGTGTGATGTTCGCCTTTTTTTCAGAGCAAAATCATTTGCACGCTATTTGTGCAATGGCATAAAACATGCATGTGTTTTTGCAAGGCTCTTTCCTTCTTTCGTTTGGATCTATTCGCACTTTTAAGGGGYTGTCTTCATTTTGAATCATGTCTTTGCTTTTGTATTTTATTGACTAGTTACTGTTGTGATTTATATCTGTTCTCTAGGCAAATTTCTTTTTAGAATAGTTATTACGATGCTCCACAGGAGATTATATGAAAAACAGGTTTAATTTATGAACTAATCTGTAATAATTACTTTGAACAATAGAGGGCATCAGTTAACTAAGCTTCTGTATTTAGGACGCTTTAGAGGAATTTTCTCCATGAGATTGAAACTATACATCCTTAAGAAAATGAACAAAGCCCACCATCTTCATCGGTTCTGGCTTAAAATATTATACTAGAATATTGATCAATATACATCAGGTGGCCAAACTAGAGAAGTGGTGAATGTTTTATGCGCTTAATCTATTTTTCCTTTGTTTTCCATTATGAAGATATAAATCTCCCTACAATAATATTCTGTAAAAGCAGATTTCTTTAATAGATGCTGAACTAAACCTAGAAACAACGAACAGATTAGAGGCATCTTCATTCTTCCCTCGAGACCCAGGTCTGGCGAACTATTCTGCAGGCAGCTTCCCTGTATTCTGCACGAACGGGGAGCTCTAGTGCACCCTATTCCTCTGCTATGGACAATAATAAAAGCAAGGCTGACATTATGGGAGCAGCAAAAGCTGACTGGGCAGTAAAAGCACACGTGGCAGTCTGCCTCTCTAACCCTCACCTCAAATATTGAGGCATTTTCCAAAGTAATCAGCCTGCTTTGGAAAAGGTGCCTTTGGAGTGGCTTGTTGCGTTTTATAGTTTTTACATAGCACTTAGCAGCCTTCTCCTATAATCAGAATTATCATGAATGGACTTTATTGCATTCTTTGTTTTTATTTTTAATTGAAAATTGGATAGACTACTCCGTATAACAATTGGAATGCAGATTGTTAGGTCTCAGAAGAACAAAATAATAAAATAAGAGTCTCGGATTGCCATGGAGATAAGGAGAGTGTAGCACTGAAACTGAGGTATGGAGCGTGCCTTGTTACCCCTCTGTCTTGTGGGAACAAATCACAGTTAATGCAGCTTAGTAGAGTTATACCCTTTCACATCCTACCTTTAGTCTGGGTTCCTGTGGGAAGTGTGCTAGGTGGCGAGAGCAAACAGCTTAGATCCAATTCAAACCGCTTGTCATCTCCATCTTCCAGGTGCAATTGTCTCTGTGCTGCACACAAACGTACATCTGGTTTACAGATCAGCCACTGGTTCACATTATCAGCAATGGGCAGCTCTTCTTGTGTTGATTAGCCTG